TAACCTGATCATCTACTCCACCCGAATAGCTGCTGCAATGCCGGTGCTATTAATGACTGGAAAAGCAAACAATGGCCAATGTTGAAACAGAAATGTTGCTGAGCAGCACCTGACCTTTGACCTACCGTGCGTATGTAGTTGTGCATGCGCCCACTTTTAAATGCAGTGGAGCTTTACAATGAACAACGGTGTGTTCACTCTCGTCTTCATGTGTAATTAAGTGCTGAAGATAAAGTTTAATATGGGCGTTTGTTAACGACATATGTGATTGTCTGACCACTCACAAACTCTGTTCTTTTGTTTTTGCCTCTTAGCAGTCGGGTTGGTGGAAACAAAATATCATCATCATACCCAAAAGTATTAATATAACTGTCGACTGGCACTGTTGGATTGTTCTTGGTAGTTCTATATATGAATCTGCTGTCTTTATTTCTGTTATTTTGTGTAATGGTACTAGGCGCTTTGTTTATTGTGTTTGTGTGTGAAAAAAGACCTAATAACAAAACAGCCACATGTAGTCAATGGCCAGAACTATGAAACAAAGTAGTAGGGGCTCTCCTTTTCCATTCCATTAGAGGTTTGGGGTCAGTAACCTCCAGGGGTTTTTAAGGAGGACCCAGGGGTTTCCCAGCTAATGCAAAAGAGCTCAAGTTATTCCCTTTAGAAACAAAGTACTTTCTTTTGCCCAACGCAATACGTCCATGCAACGTCGCTGAGCCCGCCCCTTTTTGTACACTTTTCTCTACAACTGTAGCACTTTGGGTTGTGATAAATATACTTTGTAAGTCTGCAGGAGAGACCCGAAGAGATAGGAAGTGCTTTACCAGACAGAAATAAAGGAAATGCTGTATGTGATGCTTCAGTCAGGCCGGTTGCACATGAGCTCAGAAACGTCTAAAACAAAGCAATGTCCTCCTGACTCCTGTACAGGGCTGGACGGTAAACACAAGGACGGCTACTGGCGTTTTGTTTACCCCATCAAAGTCTCTTCAGATTCAGACATCTCAGTGATCACTTTTATCTTCATATCACCAGAAAATGAGTAAGGCGGTTGTGACTTCATTTGAAGCAATCACTTCCTGTTATGTGATATTACATAGCACTGGGTGCAGTGTGCAACTGTCCTGCGCAGCGATTTCTTATGCCAAATATAGTGACGGAATAAATAGTTTCACCACCAATCACTGTGTTCATACACTCACACAGAAACTGCTGTTATGTTTATTTGGTAGGGGCCTTGCATATTCTTAAAACCAAGAGGCTTCATCTGTAGTCCCTGGACAAATGTCACGCTAAAAAAACACAAGATTAAAACTACAAAGTGATTCATCATTTATAAGCATGCAGAGAATATGAATACAAGTAGAAACATCATTCAGGACACCCTTTATATACTGTCAAGTACTTTTAAGACATGCAACACAGAGGCTCATGAAGCAACACATGCAAAGCAAATACATGAGGGATAATTAAGTTGGTAGATACATGGACTAAAGACAAAATTATGCTGCATTGTTTGACAATAAAAAACATATCGATCTTGCACAGCAGAACAACGATAAAATGCAGGTAGATGGGGGACAAGGACAGACAGGTGACAGACCGAGGGAGGTTCAGCGGGTTGAGGACAGTAAGGTGCCGTTACGGTCAAGTGCCGACAGCTTTACGTCTTTGACATTAAGCTATGTAGATCACACAAAAGGAAACTACTTCTCAAAATGATGTTGTAGGCTATTCCCCAAACACACCTCTCCCTAATGGATTTAAGGTGGAACTAACTGACACTGATGCTTTGCTGCAGGCAACCCAGAAAATAGGGCCTATTTAATAGGTTACATAGTAATTTTGTTGTGGGCTTTTTTGTAATATTTTGAAATAATAGTATTTAAATGGTGTAAGTAAATGCAAGTAGAAGTAATACATTTGTCATTTTTTAAATTCTGTCATTTTGGGGTGCCCCTGTGGATGCATACCTATCGAGGTGTAAGAGAGGTAGACTTGTATCATGGTCTCTCCACTTCAGCCCTTAGCCAAACATTGAGTCGCATGTGAGGAAATGTCCACAGACAGCCTAAGTAAGACCAGTTGCCACCTCTCTGTAGGTAAGCCCACTTACGTGACTGAGGTTATGTGGAATGCAGTCGGTCTCCCTCGCCCTCCCACCCTCACAGGCCCCCTCTAGTTTCCTCCAAACAGGAGGCTCCATTCATCACGTGATGAGATACACGGTCTCTGCTTAGATATACAGAACTCAGAGGTTTAAATGAGACGTTTGGATTCTTTTGACATTTTTAAGTGTTACAGATTTGGAGGGCAAGGTTCTGCACTGTCTGGCCAGACCTCAGCTAAAGGGCAAAAGGAGTTGCATAACATAATGGCTTCCCACATTCCATTTCCTAAAAATCTGCTCTCTGAGGCTGGAAAGCAACCTCGGGGTTGTGGCGCCATCTAGTGACAGACTGATGTATTTATTGAAACCATTGTTTACAAAACAGCCCAGGAAAAAGCACAGTGGCAAAGATGAAATGTTTTATACATGCGATACTTTTTTTTTGTCATTCCTCATAATGCTTGTTTTTGTTTTTTTTTTCAGCCCTGAGTCAGTTGAAGCAAGCCCTGCCGTGAATGAAAAAAACTACAACAACCACAGCTGTGGCAGCGCACAGGATCATGGGTATCGGGGACTACCATATGCTGTGAGTTCATACAGTTACATACTCCTCCAATCAATTCTAATCATAGCATGTCTTTATTATACCAAATGTGTTACTCTCTATTACTCAAAGATAGAAACTAATTTCTAATCACTGCAAGATCTGTGTTCTATAATAATGGAGCAGTAAGAGTAAAACTAAGGGTTGCCAGGGCTTCTAGTCTGATTGAAGACATGGATGTCTGTCCTACTGTTAGTCCTCTGTAACGACACGCTACTTCCGTTAACAGCTGTACTGTTTCACATACCTGTTTTTTTTTTTTTTGCCCTCATTTTCATTCGTCTCCATTTTCCGTTTCCCTTTTTTTTGCCTGAACACCCACGTTGTTTGAAGATGCAACAGTCTTCCGTTGTGTGTTGTCAGGATCACAACTATGGCGCGCCCCCTCCCCCCACCCCACCCGCCTCCCCGCTCTCCCAAACCATCATTCCCCGCATGGACCTCAACGGAGTCGTACGCGGCTCCCGCTACCATGACGCCACCGAGGACAACTCGGCCGACAGCGACAGCTCCTCAGAGGAGGACGGGGTCGTGGCCGGCTGGTGTCACTGCAGCCTAACGCCGGACGGCCTGCTCATCAAGTGTGACAACTGCAGGTGAGCGAAGAAGCACCCGCCAAGTCTAGATCCTGGAGCGTATAACGACCACATCGTCTCGCAAATTCATGAGAAAGAACAGAGCAGGTGGAACATTTTGAAAGTCTAGTTATTGTTTTAAGTAAAAATTCTGTATATTTCTGTTTTATATGTATACTCCTGGCATGAGGGCTCTGTTTGAGACTTTCAAATGACATTCACTGCTCTTGATTAGGACCCAGTGTGGTGAGATTCTAGCAGCATCAACATGATCACAATTTAGTTTTTATTAAATACAAAACTTTGTTTTCTTTTTGTAGAATCAAACTCTAAATTCTCTCACTGTTTGTTTCTAAACCTCAAATTTAGGTTTGGTCACTCCTCAAACTTAGACATGGCCCATTTATGTGCTGATGGGTTTTATGGCCTTTTTTGTTTGCAGGGGACTCGACAGGAGGAAAGGAGCAGAAGGCCAACACAGAAAACCAGAAAATGTCTCCGGTACTATGTCTTTTGTCTTTGTTTGGTTCAATCATTTCCCCATAGTAGTCTGTAAAGTGCTATCTGGTGACCATGGTTTGTGGTTGTTTGTAGCTGGAGAGAGCAGTGCCACCGAGAGTGGTGACGAAGAGGTGTCTCCCTCCACCATCTCCTACACCGCCACCCAGCATACGCCCACCAGCATCAAACTCACCGTCAACCGGGTCAAAAGGAGCAAGTCCAAAAAGAGAAAGAAGAGCACAGAGAAGGCCCGCGGAGCACAGAAGGGCAAGAAAGTCAAGGTATGCAAACTGGTGGAAGCAGAGTGAATCAGGATGAGTCTAGCAAACAAATCTATTGACAGATTAAAGGAAATTATAAGCTCAAAGCCCAATACGGAGCTGTTATTTTCTTTGCCACAAGCACGCCCCATTGAGATTACCTCAATGTTGTTACTGATTGCAGTTGCTGCTTTACATGTCCATGTATTGATATGGGTTCATCTTCCTTCTCCCAGGCTTTCAGAGAGGGTTCTAGGAAGTCCATGAGGATGAAGGTGAGGATTGGAGTTAATCCTACGTTTATGTTAAAGGCCCCATATTGTAGAAAGTCAGATCTCCCTGTCTTCTTTTGCTTATAAAGCAGGTCTAGGTGCTATATAGATACCGTGAAAGCATCAAAGGCTCAATCCACGGAGATTCAGAAACTGTTCCTTTAAACGAGCCATCAGGACTTCTGTGATGTCACAGCTATACTGTATGTAGAAACAGTCATTCCCTGCCTATAATGGCACTAAAATAATCAACTAAATAGTGCTAAAACAGAGCGTGAGTGAATACAGGTATATTATGACAGACGGTATGAGAAAAATAGTGGTTTTTGAACATTAAAGCACGTAAACATGTTCAAGTAGAGCCGGAAAATAAGGGTGATGTGTCTCCTTAAAGTTCTACTCAGTGCCATCAGCCCCATGCTTCAACCCGCTCCGTCTTGTCCTCTGTCTAGAACTCAACAACGGAGGCCAGCGTGCTGGATGAGAACACGGCAGAGGGATGGGAGAGCAAGATCCGCCAGTGGACGGACCAGTACGAGGAGGCTCTGGTCAACCAGTACAGCGCCGACGTCCAGACACTCCTCCAGCTTCACCGCGCCGCCAGCACCACTGTTTCAAAGGCAGAGAGCAACACGGCGGTGCCCCTCGCCACCACACAGATCCACGCCTCAGTCGACGCCATGGACACCATCAACCGCACTGAGCTGGCCTGTAACAACACTGTGCTGGGCTCACAGATGCAGGTCAGCCCACGTCCTGAACCAAACTCTGTATTGATTCAGCTTGTATGTCCCAATGTGTGCATGTGCAACAAACCGTACCATTGCAAAAGATGCTATGTAATCATTAAGGCCAAAACAACACATGATATATAGTCAGATTACATCTTGGTTACTGATTTTGCATGTATGCCCTGAGGGCTTGGTCGATACGGCTTTTAATAATACCGCTATTTTTACGCAATGTATATCTCCATATCTTCATACTTTCTCTAAAATAACATAACTGTTTGATTAAACCCTTTGATACGCGTGATCATACCAGCATGATTATTTCAGCAAATTAATCTGAACACTGACCTGATGTGCTGTCATTTTAAACTCGGTGGTCTTTTATAGAGTTTGATAAATTATTCACAAAATTGAAGTTCCATTCTTTCTAAAATAGTTTGTAGACGGTAGTTTTGTGTTTTTTTTAAAGTTGTCATTCATTTTATGTGTTATTTAATATTCATTAATTTTTAATTCATTTATATATTATTAACAGACCTGCTGACTAATTTAATGAATGAATGTGAAATTGCCTCATGGGAAGATCACTTTTAGTTCTTGGTTGCTTTTATTTTGAAGTCGGTTCTTAACGTCTTCCCCTGCTTCCCTCCAGATTCAAAAACACAGGCCCCATACACACATCCATACTCATACGCCAGTCAACCGTGCGTGCGTGCGTGCGTGCGTGCGTGTGTGTGTGTGCGTGTGTGTGTGCGCGTGTGTGTGTGTGTGTGTGGGAGCGAGCGAGCAGCGGGAGCAGCCAAAGGCAGTCTCAAAAATTCTGCGACTATTAATATTTGTCCTTGATTCTCGCGATATGTTCATTTACTACATGTCACGTAGAACAAGCATCAGTACATCGAGTACATTCCATATATTGCCCACCTCTGTGCCCTGCCTGCATGGATAATAACCAGTCACAATTGTGTAATTATGCGTTGGTATGACATGTTTAACATTTTTCTGCATTTGCAAATAACTGGTGTGTGATGTGCCGTTCGCAGCTCCAGTTGGGGCGGGTCACACGAGTGCAGAAACACAGGAAGATCCTACGCGCAGCTAAGAACCTGGAACCAGACACACTCATCATTGAATATCGGGGCAAGGTCATGCTCAAACAGCAGTTTGAAGTCAACGGGCACTTCTTCAAAAAGTAAGACATCACGGTGTTTGTGTCATTGAGTTTCTCCGCGATATGCTTTTAAATGTTTGGCTGCAAAGACGCTCACAGAGATCCCAGTGTTGATACCACCGTTGTCATATTTTTCCCCAGACCCTACCCCTTTGTGCTGTTCTACTCGAAGTTTAATGACGTAGAGATGTGTGTCGATGCAAGGACCTTTGGAAATGATGCCCGCTTCATCAGGAGGTCCTGTACACCCAACGCCGAGGTCAGCCAACAATCTCAATGCCTTTCTGCGTAGCTGTGAGTTCTATCAGGCTGCTATCGTAGAATCTTTTAACTGAGATAACTCGCGCATCTGTTCCCTTCTCCAGGTCCGGCACGTGATTGCTGAGGGCATGATCCACCTGTGTATCTACGCCGTCAGTCATATCACAAAGGACGCTGAGGTCACCATTGGATTTGACTACGAGTTCAATAGCTGGTCAGTACTGCTCCTCAACCCTTATCCGTCTTTCCACCTGCCTGTGACCCAGCCACTAGAAAGCACCCATCCATAAAGAGTAACATGGGTCAAATCCAACTATCTGTACAACATTCAAGTATAAGTGGTAATGGTCTATGTTCTGTCTAGAAATGCATGTTGGCATCAGGAGTGAATCAAGTAGTAGTTTTCTTTTGGTTTACATAAACGGTTGTTGCTGCTTTAGGATGTCTTGTGTTCTGACCTCCAGTTTAATCCTTTCTGTCTCTTAACAACCCCCAGTAATTACAAAGTGGACTGTGCCTGCCATAAGGGCAATCAGAACTGCCCGGTGCAGAAGCACAACCTGAGCCCCAGGGAGAGCTTGCTCAGCGCCCCCTCGCTGCCGCCGCCCTCCGCTCTGGCAGGTGCCGAGACCCGGCGGAGAAAAGCCCGAAGGAGAGAGCTAGAGAGCGGCCTCTCCGGTGACAGCAACCAGACCCTGAACCAGCACCAGGAGGCCAAAGAACTGCAGGGGACCAGTGACACAGAGGTGTGTGTGTGTGTGTCAAGCTTAGGCCACATCCACCCTACTACGTTTCCATTTTAAAACGCATATCTTTTGCTACGTTTACGCCTAGCCTCCACACTATAGCGTTCTACAACCCTTAAAATGGAACCGCTACCGACGCAGTTTTAGTTAAAAAACTCCGGGGTTGCCTTATAGTGTGGTCAGGTGGAAACGTAGACCTTTGAAAATGATGACATGGACACCTGCATTCACTACTTGATTGGGTCTTAGCAGTAACGACGTGTCCTTCCCTGATCCAACACGCCGCCAGAAGACAAGAACAGCAGCTTTGATTATCAATCGACTACCAGGTTAATTCAACATGGAGAACTGATTACAGGCGTTGTTGAGCTTGTTGTCTATACCAGCAGCTGTTGTGCAGTTAAATTCTGCATAACTCTACTACTGAGAAAGATCTTAAGTATCAAGCACAAAACAAATGTGTTAGGGTGGATGAAGGGATCAATCAATACTTTTAAGTTACCTTAAAGTTAAACAAAGATCCTTAGATTTAATTCCATTACATATGAATGTGTCCGCAAACGGGAAAAGTGTTCTAAAACTGGGCTTGAAAATGTTAATATAGCATGTTTTCCTCATGTGCTGCCTGTCTGTGCTATTAGGAGAGACTGCTGGATGAGCTGAATGTGGAGGAGGGAGAGGAAGGAGAGGTGGATGAAAACGGGGTGGCCATCTCCAGTAAAAGGGTACGACATTTTAACTTTTCTCCCAGTACAGCTGCACTAATTTAGCATTTGTGTTCGCTGTGACAATAGATTCCTATTCCAGCACAATACATCAGTACAAGAGAAAATGTTTCCGGTAACTCTCTGTCCGTGTAACTCCTCTCTTGTGTCTGTGCTCTTTCACGTAGACATGCAACAACCTGGAAAGGAGGCGCAAGAGAGTGGGAGGAGCAGAAGTCAAGGAGGAGGGCGTGGAAAGTGAGGACGGGGCGGGAAACCCCGCAGGGAACACTCCTACACCCCACAATGTCGGAGTGGGGGTCAGCACACGACGCTCCAGCTATGTGATGGTCAGTGAGCGAAATCCGCTTGTTCATCCATATCTGTTCATCTTTTTTTCTTTTTTGAATACATTTTTTTGTCGTTCATTCTTTTTCAGGACGCGCCGTCTACTGAAGAAAAGACCTCATTACCCAACCTGCCCGCTTCCATCGCCCCGCCTAAACCCGCACGACCCACCAAGCCTCGGCCCAAAAGTCGGATCTCTCGCTACCGGTCTAGTTCGTCCCAGCGAGCCCGGCGGCAGCGCCAAGCCCTCGCCCAGCAAGCAGCAGCAGCAGCGGCAGCAGCCGCTGCGGCAGCGATGGCAGCAGCCCCGTCATCAGCCGACCAGGGTGCTTGTCTGGATGAGGAGGGATCTCAGGGCCCGTATGGTTCTGAACACGGCCACGGAGAGAGCAGTCTGGGGGGTCATCTCCTAGACGGAGACGGCCATGGTCTAAACTGTATAAATAGAGGCAACCTGCGTTACCCCAAGACCAAGAAGGTTAGAGGACGCTAGACCTTGTAGAAATGAAGTGTAGGATTTACGCTAAGCTTTCTTATTTATGTAGTACATTCCTATCAAATGCAGAGTTAATCATTGATGCGTCTTTGTTCTCAGTACCTGGTGACAGAGTGGTTGAATGACAAGGTCCCTGGAGGGGAGAAGGTCCACCAAGAGGTGCCCGTTGAGCGCCCGCTACGGATAACCACTGACCCCACGGTGCTGGCCACTACCCTCAACATGCTGCCAGGCCTCTCCCACTCGTCGCTCATCTGCACCGCGCCCAGACACTATGTCCGCTTCGGCTCCCCCTTCAACCCCGAGAGACGGCGGCCCCGCCCGCTCCAAATGGACGGCACTTACGGCTGCTACAAGAAGGTGAGACATGCCGCAAGGTGTTGTCGAGAGATGGAGGACACGGCTCTACAAACATTCAATGAATAATGTCATCCATGGTGATAAACATTGAGTGCTAGTGTTAGAAGCTTGTCTGCAGGTCCTTTAACAATTTACCAAAAGTTGGAAGCCTGAGCAGGATAGTTTGCGAGTTTTCAAGTGGCATTGTATGAGGTACTTCTTCATAGTCAGTGTATTACCTACAGGAGATGGAGTTTGGAGAAACAAACGGGAGTAGCAGCATGGGAGCAAATCAATGTACGGCTCTGGACGAGGGCAGCAGCAAAACTTATTTTTGATACCTAAAAAGATCTATATCAGTTTAAATGTACGCTATATTTAGAATATCTTTAGACAATCCCTTCAGACAGAGAACTGAAGCTGTTCGATCCATCAATGCTCTCTTCAAAGCCACTAGACCCATTTTACCTCTTAGAACACAGGAGTAGCTGGTTTGTTGCTGCCTCGATTGGTTTGTAAGTTTGTGATATTGTGTGACTTTGGTGAATACGGGCTAACCATTTAAACACCAGAGTCACATAATAACACAAAAAAGCTTCCTGACAAGGAAGTGCTAAATCCCCAACTCCTGTGTTCTGGAAGGTCAAATTGCCGTTTTTGTCAATGGAGTCTGATGGCTTTGGCGAGAGCCTAGATAACATTTTAAATACAATATTCTTAATATAGATTTTTAGGTGTCTAAAAGACAGCAGTACATTGATTTGCTCTTGTGCTGCTACTGAAACTGTCTGTTTCTTTAATCTCATCTACTCTAGGTAATACGCTCTTTATGGAGAAGAACCTCATATAACCCCACTTCAAAACACCCAAACTATCCCTTTAAACTGTCTGAAAATATGTCTCTTGAATCCCATTTTTAACTCCTAAGGTCTTGCACCGTATGCTGTTGTTTTGGTGAAAAATGACCAGTAATGTAAAGTTCTTGTTTTTACCATCATTATACCCTAAATTGGTCATAAAATGTATTCTACCTAAAAATGTTAATACTTGTGACTCCCAATCACCTTGTAATATGTTAAGTTATATCCAAACCATTCTTCTATTATACAACTAGACTTTTCTGAGAAATTGGGTTAAGTTTAAGGAAGATGTTTTTAAATGTCTTTTAAACAAACACTTTAGTTTTTTTAACCCGACATTACTGTTATTTCGATGCAGAGATGGATAAAGCAGGTGGAGGATGAGAGCTGTTCAGCCAGTGTGGAGGATGGCACAGAGTCCACCTCCTCCCAGCAAAGTACCAGTAGCAGGTCCACCCCCAACCCCCTGTCCAGCGGTACGTACATCCCCACCTCCATCTGGATGACGCATTTATTCTGAAAGCACCAAAGCTGGAGGAAGAATGAACGTTAGATCAGAACTAAGCAACTGGGTGGTATTATTACTAAAAGTACAACTAAGTGAAGGGTGCAGTCCAGATTGGAAGCATGTCTCTCGTCTTGTTTCGATACCTTCTTGATACTAGAAGTGTACTCTCTCCTGTTTGGTCCAACTCGCTTGTGTTATTTCACGTTTGTAAAATCCCAGATGTCAACGCACCGTTTAAGAAGCGCCGCTCTAAGTACGCGGCGGAGACGACGCCCGCACCCTCGGACCACCTGCTTCGCCCGCTGTCGCCCATCACGCCACCGCTCCCGGGGGACTCCCTCCACCCACCGCTCCACAACCCCTGCGGCTCCCTGCTGCCCAACGGCCTGGTCTACTCGCCCATGCCCTCGCTGCCCGCCAGCCGCTGCAACACGCCGCTGCAATTCGAGGTGAGGGCACAGCCACAGAGACGCACCTAGATACATTGAGACAGTTGTCAGTCAGAGCTCACGTGGTGCATGTGTATTCACCAATGGTGCCTCCAATAACATCCAATTTGGTTACTCCCACATGAACACAATTTGTGAACATCGATCTCAGGCAGCTGGCCTAACTTGTTGAAGTAGTGGTTTTATGAAAGCTCTTCTAAATGAACGCCTCTTGCTCAGTGTAGTCTGGTCCCTGTTGTCAGGTCAGTCAGTCAGTCTGGTTTGGGTTGTTGTTGCTGAACACCCATGACCTCGACACATGAGCCTTTTTTATGTAATGAATAGGCAGAGTAGTGGCTGCAAGGCTTTGTGGCAGCCAATAGGCAGCCAATAAAGAGTTTATTTCTATAGAAAGTGTATCTCAGCGTCTGTGTCCACATAGCAGCACTCCAAGCTCTCTTTCCGATGCTTCTATGACAACAATATCTTAACACATCACCACCATTGTACAATAGGCTAGCATGGTTACTTGTCTGTTTGGGCTGCTATGTATTTGTTTTACATAGTGTTCTCACCATGAGCACCAACTGGAGGTTGTCTGCTTCATACCGTGTCTCCGCTCAGTCTGACAGCCGAAACGTTCGAGCAAGGCGACAGACAGCGTACGGTTCTAAAATCACAACACTCAGAGTCCGCCCTGCTGATCTGCTCCTAAAGGGGCTTTTCCTTCTTTGTTGTGATAGTGTCGGTCCAAAATATAAAGCTCAGGAGAGACAGACACAGCCAAAACAAGCTTCTCCTCTAGTCACCAGCGCTTTTCTGAAAAGAGATTTTCAACTTTAAGTGCTCAGAGTGCACAGTAAAAAGACGCTGGGTGCAGCATACGCTCTCTCCTCACTTAGAAGAAAAAAGATCATTTAACATCCCCTGTAACTACTCAACATCACATCAGAGAACATTGTTAATCATTGAAGATAAACTGTTTGTGTGCAAATTAACGTTTTGACGCTTGACGTAATTTAATCTTTGTTCTGGATTAAACACAGTGGTGAGAGCAGCTGGACTAGCAGTGAAAGTGAATGTCAATTTGCTGTTAATCTGCCCGGCAGACTGTTCAAATGGTAATGAGTCACCATGTGTGTCTGACAATATGACGTTTCTAAGAGCTTTTTCTGTCTGCTCTCTAGAACATATCGTCACCTGAGGCGTCTCCTGTTCACCGACCACAGTCCATCTCTCCCGAGGTACGTTCCTGTCTCTCTGACACTACCTCCCAGTTGCAGATACAAACAGTTATATGCTATTAACTACTCTATGTTGTCTCATTCACTTTGTACTATCTGTCTCTGTTCTTTCTCCAGCTGTGTCTTCAGACAGACTTTGACATCCCTCGTCCTCAGTTCCCCGATCTGTCCCTCCCCTCCAGCTTGGAGAGCTCGGTGGCGATGACCTTGGATGACTTTTCCCTCCCTGGAGGCCCTTCAGGCCACGACTCCCAGGGTCCATCATCTGTAGGGACATGCTCCCTGAACCCAGCGTCCTGTCCTTCCTCAGACCTCACCTCCCAAAACAGGGAGCAGGCCTTCAGGACAGAGTTCAACCTCATATACACCTGTTCGCCCCTCAACGCAAACCTGGGCAACCCCGTGGCCTCCGACCGCCACCTCTCCCAGTCTGAAGGTGGCTTTTCCCCAGCGGAGTCCTTCCACAGCTCCATAAGCGGCCAGGGGCCGCTGGGAGACGCGGGCCCCGGCTCCACGTCGCCCTACGGCGAGCCTCACTATGGAGGAGGCTACCCGGATAGTGGCACGCCTCCTCACACCAGCAACCCACCGCAAAAGAAGAAGGCAAGTTGTTCACATCTTAATGATGAGGATAATGTGAAATTCATTTTTTTAAATCAGCGTTTTATTTGTTCTTCTCCAGCACGAATGACTTTGAGTGTGATATGTGCCAAGTGAAAAGCCAAACCTCATGATGTGCTTTTTCCCCTTGCTCTGTGTTTGCTCCTTTGCTTTGTCGTAAATATTTCAATTGGTCCCTTTTGTGTCAGGTGGTCAAATCCAAAAGCAACAGGCATTTAAAAAACAAACATATTTAACCGTTTTATGTTTCTATCTGAAATGATTTAGACTCTGTAGCTTTGACCCTTCCTCCCCCTTCCCCCCTTGCTGCTCCTTGACACTTTTTGCCAAGTCTCTCTTCCACTTTTCTTCCAAGGCAGAGGGCCAACCAGCATACCATTAGTCTGCTGACAGGGAAGCCAGATTACCAGGCTATAGCTGTAAGAAGTGAATACAAGCCAGTACAAAATATGGTGAATATTCTCCCTACAACTACATCTTTAGAAGTGTGCATGTAAATATTGTTTCTTTGCATCTGCATACAACACCCACCCCATGCTCCGACAGCTCCGCCCCCCTCCACCCGACCTGCATTGAATTACGACTCTTTAGTTTTGAGCAGCAGTGTTAAGTTATTCTGCCATTTCAGTCAAATCCATTGAAGCGTGTAAAGGTTCATCCATCACCTTGGACACGGGAGGCCGATGGTTCATGAGTTGTGTTGACGGTGTGGAGGTGAAGCACACGCCTCTTTGCTCCATCTCATCCATCCACCTCTACTACAAGCCAGGCTACGAGACATACATCACCACAAGGGCTCAGGGGAAATTACTGTTTTCCCAGTAACATGAGTCAGCAGTTACCCGGCCAATGTAACGTTAAACTGAGCCAACGCCTTAATGCAGCTAGTCGCATCATAGTCCTGTAGATCAGAAGTCATCACATGTCAGATGTGAGGCGAGTTATTCTGAGAGGAGCAACAAAACATGAAATAAAGTACGGCTCTTCCATAGATGCCCCCGCGATATTTCTCCTTACAAGGTGTATGGTCTTAAAGACTCTACCTTGCTAAAAAAAATACATTGGCAGGGTTCACCGGTAATGTTTTCTTTTTTTTTTTTTTTTACTTACCCGGTCAGCAAGGGGGTCAGAAATCTACCTGCCTAAACTTCATTTGAACTTCCGCCTTTACAAATGGTTCCATTTTATCAAATAACAAGTTTATGTTTGGACTTTTTTTCGGTAAATGAATCCTCTAACCTGTCAAGCTAAATAATTGAAGCGAGTGCCCGGTCGGGACTGAGCATGGAGACTATTAACAGAGATGAGAAGGAAGAGAGATGGCTCACTCCTTAGCTTCCTCCCTCATCAGCTCCGGAAATAAACAACGTTTAACTCTTTGAGTCGCTACGTTCACTACGAGCTCATATTGTTGAGCGCTGATTAGTAATTCAGATTAATTTTCAAACGGACGGATATACATTCTTCAACTTTACTTCTGTGTACAGAATCACACGCTGTGACAATCAGCCCGAAGTGACTCATGATTCGAGTTCAGCCAGAATCGACCCGTCTCTTTATCTTTTATTTTAGTTGTATCTTTCCAATTTTTCATTTTAGTTTTGCTTCAGTTTGAGGTTTAGTTTTTATATTCGTAGTTTTACAGTAGTAGTAGTTTGTTTTTGTTAGTGCCGGGTATATCGTCTCAGGAGTGTGTGGCTGCAGTAAACATACAATCAATCAAACTTTATTTCAGACTCAGGGTCCATATAAGACAAATGCATAAAGTACAATACAAAATACATGGTGGAGTATGTAGGAAGGGCCTTAATGTTTAAATCTGTGCGGACTCCTTCACTAGCACACATGAATCCTGTTCTTGTTATTTAATTCTACAAGACTAGACCACATGTGGAAAACAAGGGAACGTCAAGTCCGCTCACTTACTTTGGTTCAATGAGTTGACCGAAAGTCACGTTGTCTCCTTTTTCCAGTTGTGATATATTGGAGTAAAAAAATTAAAACTAAGTTTGTTTTTATTTATTTGATCAGGCAATTTCATTTGTCTAGTTTTTGTTTAGTTCCAGTTTAGGATAATTCTTTTTTTTTTAGCTTACATTGATAACCCTGCTGGACACCGTAGCAGTCAGACAGTTACAAACATAAAACTCACGTTGTTCTTCAGCATAGATTTCCTTTTAAACCATGTTTGATGGTATGCAACAGGCTAACAATGGGAGACCCTTTTCATAAAGCTGTAGAATTGGTTTGACCTGATGTGTAAGGAGGCTGGCTCTTAAACACATACTGTGTTTATAACTGGGGCATGTGAAAGGTGACTTAAAAACCACTGGGAAGTCTAGCAGGACAGTCAAAGTAATGTCTCCACTGAAGACATCTTCCATATTTAGTCCTTGGTGGTTGTTTCAGATAGTTGTTCTGACACTAGTATCAGAAATACGTGAGTCTATGCACCGATCTGATATCATATTGTCACATCATTTATCAGCTAATTTACACTACACAGGAAACACAACAGGTGTCACTTGCTACCTGATCCATACTGAGCATGTGCAACTCTCACCAGAGATGAGAAAGAAGCGAGAGGGCTCACTCCTTCGCTATATCCATCATTGGCTCCTCGATCGCTGCTTCTGGGATCAATGATGGATGGCTTCTTCCTCATCCTTGTTCAGAGGAGCACATGCTCAGTACCAATCGAACATGTGCTGGAAGAGTGTGTGACATTAGCCATGTCAGCAACATAGCAATATTTAGCAATGAAAAATCTAGATATAAAAAAGAAAGACATTCATTCTCTGATTTTTTGCAAAGAGTTGAACCTGAGCCAGGCTATACAACTACTGTATGTGAGCAATCATATCCGTACAGGGTTGGTGGTATACAGCTGTTACAAAAACAATATATATCCATATATATATATATATTTATTTTTTGTTATTAACGCCGTTATCGGCCGATACGCAGGTTCATGTCTGGGAACCCAGAAGAATAAAATCACCTGCCTTCTGTAGTCTCCCCTATACGTTGTGTTCTGCTACTACAGAGCTTCAGGCGAGGTCCATCCATGTCAGTATCTGACTGTGTGGTCATCATTCCGCCCCCTGCCTCTTTCATATACCCCCCCTCCCCCCTTCTCTGTTCCCACAAGCCTTCTCTCTGTCATGACGACATTAAGCTGGGATGAGTGCTCTCATTCTCATTGTCAATACTGGAGGGGTGTGTGTGGACGTTGATGTTTGTGTAGCTGTTGTTTCAGCGTGGTTGCATCATGGCGTGGTGCGTTCAAAGTTGCCTGCTCTGTCGTCAAATGTTACTAACAGTGCATCCAGAACACACGACGTGATCCGCAGCACAGGCCTCTCTCATGACTACGAGTGTGTTAGTGGAATGGAGATGCACACGGTGTCATTTTCATGTCAACAGTGATTTCCATGGTGATTACGGTGTGTGTGTGTGTGTGTGTGTGTGTGTGTGTGTTTTCTTTTTGTCGTGTTGAATAGTTGTTTCCAGGTGAGTCCTCTCCGGTGTGGTGCATGCCCTCTGCCCATCACTCAGTGCAGTTTTGGTGAATGGTGTGACTCCGTCAGCGGCCCCGGCATCAGAGTGAATGGCGTGATGCGTGTTTGTGTGTCAGTCCTCCAGCAGCGGGCGTTTAATGGCGCCTCTCCTCCCTCTGCTGCCTCAGGTGTCTTTGCTGGAGTACCGCAAAAGGAAGCAGGGGGGTGGCCGCGACTCGGAGCCGGTCTGCGGAGGCTCGTCACTGGGCAGCACCCCCACCCGGCCCTGCTCCCACTACAGCCAGGACTCCCACCACCCCCACTGCCATCAGCAGATGCAGCCGACAGCCTCCCCGCACAGCTCCTTCTCCTCCTCGGCCCACGCCTCCTCCATCCCGCAGATAGAGAAGGTCAGTCCTCCAGACCACCAGGGCTCGTCCCTGCAGCCCAGACACCAGGACAGCAACAACCAGTGGTGAGAAGCCCTGAACAATGACCTCTTAGTACCTGGAAGTTCTTAACCCTTTGAATCCAGATCAGTTTTGGGGTGTTTTTCTCCTCTGTGACCTTTATTTTCACTGCAATATAAAGATCCTGCTCCTCTATGGAAACGGCACATGGCTAGATGTAGAGACAACTCAGACACGTCTGTGGTGCTGTACAACACAGTTACAATGACAGAAATCATTTAAAAAAAAAAAAGGAGTTGAAAATCTTTGATCATTTATTTTATAAAAATTGGAAAACACTGGAATCTATATATCCAACATTTTTCCACGTGCCCACAAGTGTTACCAATGTTTAAAATATATTTAACTCTTTACATTTTTACAACCTCTCCTGTCCTCTCCAGCCTGCAGTTCAGCCAAATCAATGCTGGCTTCCTCAGGAACGTGCAATTTCTTGTTTTTTACAGCAACTTTTTAGAGTAACCGCTTTATTTGATGGTTTAAATGAAACATTTAGGATCTAATGTTTTTGATGAAATATAACAACTTTAAGCTTTGTTTTGGCTGTTTTTTCTGAGGGAAGCGTTCGTCACACACGTTGTGTTCGAGGACTGCCGGAAAGATGAAAATCTGATGATAATACAGTTTTTACAGATTGTAAACAGTGTAGCCTGGGGATTGTTTAAAGAAAACATGCCGGAGGTTTTGGGATTCAGAGGGTTATGTCTGGATTTGGTCGTGATCAGAGTTTGCAGATAACCTTTAGGTTTGTGTTTTTTCCAAGGATGGTCCCCACTACTGTTGAACGCCTAAGGGAAGGTCAGGGGGTTCTGGAGCGAGTGCTAAGAAGTATCAAGATGGAGCGCGTTTACAAGAGGAGTGACGGCTCTACAGAGAAGGAATCTGGTATGACCACGTTTGACACCTCAGGTATCCCTGCAGAGAAATGGGGTTGGCAAAAAAAGAAAAATAATATTCTTTAGGATAATTATCGATGGAAATGAACCCACAGCTATTGATGTTGTGATTTAACCTCCCTAATGATGACATGTGTTCTCAGATGCAGATCGGTATGAGGTGCAGGCGGCGTCCATGGCTTCTCCCATGAAGAGTCCACACGGATACAGTCCCTCTGTGTACTCACACCAGGTAGCCTGTACAGACCAGTTCTATCAGTATTTCACTGATATTAGTATTCAAGCTGCCTGATGACCCTTGGCCTTATTGAGTGTCCATTTCTGTTATTTGCATTCAAGACACTTGATTCAGACTTCTTGCTAATGACTTCTTGCTTCTTGCTCTCTGTTTCAGTTGGTTTTAATGATCATATCTTCAATGCATTTTGGCAGCATTTTCCTTTGGATTTGTTGTCACCCACAGACTGAAAAGTGAAACCAATGAGGAAGTGTCTTTAAAGCTGCATTCTCTCTCCTGTCAATCAGGGAGCGACTCCTCTGGTTGTATAGAAGTCTATGAGAAAATGACTCTACTTCTCTCTTGATTTATTACCTCAGTAAACATGAGTTTATGGTCTCAATCTCTAGTTTCAAGTCTTCTTCAATACAGCATGATGTTCATTTAGTAAATGATGGTCCATTTAGGGTCTACTGTGATTGTCAGGTTACTACCACGACGTTGTCTGGGAGTCGTCCGTGTTTTTGGTTTAGAACTTTATTTTCTGACTTATAACATTTACTTAAACTCAAGTGCTAATTATTAGTTGGAAAGTCATTAATATTTTCAACTTGCAGGTAGATAACACAGAAGTCTGTCCTTAAAGGTTTATAAACGTTAAATGTTTTTGGTCTTACACCAACAAACACCGTTTCAGTTTGTACATAAACTCATTGTTAGTAACTACCTGCAGTTTACATGTGGCCATTTATGAGCTATGGGAGGCTTGGACCCTAAAGACTGAGTGTGTGTCCTCTGTGTGTGTGTTCAGTCATCAGAGAGCCACCGGCAGACTGACAGCCCGTCGTTCCTCCAGCAGACCTCCAACTCTCCATTCCGGGGTTCCTACAGTCCCTCATCAGGCCAGAGCTTCTACCCACGCCACGTGTCCCAGGACCACCCTCCATCCTCCTACCCCAGTCGCACCCCCACCCCTACCTCCTCCACCTCCTCCTCAGACTCCCGGCCGCCAGCGGGCTCTCTACACCAGCAGAGTGGCAGCAGTAGCGTGGACGGAGGCCACGGCTACGGCAGCAGCCACTTAAAAGCGAGTCTTTTGAACAGCAGTGGCTTGGTGGGGGCTCACAGCCCGGGACCTAGGCCCCACGGGCAGACTAAGACAGACTCGGGCACCCAGGCCTGCAGAGGGAGTCAGCAGCAGGCGTCTCGCAGCCTGAAGTCGGGCAGCCCGGGCCAGGCAGCGCTGCAGGCTGGTTCCAGGCTGCTGCCGGCCAGCGGACTGACACACTACCCACAGAGAGGGACGAGCCTCAGTCAGTTCCAGCACTCCCCCCTCCAGGGACCCGGAGTAAGGACACAGTCAGGAAGCTTTTAGGACCTTGTTCAAGTGTGTGTGTGTGTGTGTGTGTGTGTATGTGTGAGTGTGTGCTCGTGAGTGTGTATGAAGCTGCGTACCTCCTCAACCCCTAAAGCTGCGGTGACATGGGGCTCAGGGAGTTTGGGGAGGGGAAATGTACAGACCTAAGAGGAGCAAGGACTTCTTTACGGATTTCTCCTTTTCTTATTTTCTGTCTTTTCTTTCTTTATTTTCAGAAAAAAGAAAACAAATGACCAGATTCTGCACAAAGCTAATCATTGACTTTGGACATCATTACAGAATGAGTGGAAAAAGTGATTTGGAAAACGCGTTCTGGAAAAACAACAAAAAAACAAACAAGAACTCACGTGTAACTTGAAATTGTCCCCAGTGTTTCCTCATGTGCCGGACTGTGCAAACAGGCTCTATAATGTCAGAAAGTAAAAACTTCCACACAAATGTCTGTACAAAGTTATAAAAAAAAGCCGTACCTGTCGCCATGGTACCCAGGTTGGATAAATGCTGAGACGCATATGTAACTGAAAGCAAGAGTTGTTTTATTTTTTATTTTATTATTTTGTGTCAACGTTACGTTTTTTTGATTTGGCGAGTGGCCGAGTCTGTGCTGCAGTAAATAAGTGTTTGATTTGGAAAGAGGGGAAACGATTCAAGCGACATGTTAATCATCCGTTCTAAAGATGCATTAGAGAGGGAGGACGGGGTCTCCCTGAACATCATTCCATATTCTCAACAAACATGAAAACAAACTCTTTTCTCTCTCGCTCTCTCTGTCTCTGTCTGTCTCTCTCTCTCGGTTCTCTGTTGTTCCGTTTAGTTTTGGTTCTCTCATCCCCACTGGACTGTTTGATTTCACATTAGGACTACTTGGCTGTAGACCTCTGATATTGTACTTGAGACATACAGGTCTTATGATTCATGGTGCTGCATTCTTGTTTTTGTTTTGTTTTTTCAATAAATTTGAAATCCAGTTAAGTTCCCCACATATGGCTGCATTCATCTTGTCATTACATCAGTTTTATTTTTCTTAAGATTCATATGAATCATATATTATAGTGACAGGATGCAGGAACAAATTAGAGAAGAGTGATCCGACTTTATTTCTGAGCTAAAGATGTTGGGTTTGACTGTTTTTACCCTGCAGTTTCTTTAGAAATGTACAGTGGGTACGGAAAGTATTCAGACCCCTTTAAATTGTTCACTTTGTTTCATTGCAGCCATTTGCTAAAATCAAAAAAGTTCATTTTATTTCTCATTAATGTACACTCGGCACCCCATCTTGACAGAAAAAAACAGAAATGTAGAAATTTTTGCAAATTTATTAAAAAAGAAAAACTGAAATATCACATGGTCATAAGTATTCAGACCCTTTGCTGTGACACTCATATTTAACTCACATGCTGTCCATTTCTTCTGATCCTCCTTGAGATGTTCTACTCCTTCATTGGAGTCCAGCTGTGTTTAATTAAACTGATTGGACTTGATTAGGAAAGGCGCACACCTGTCTATATAAGACCTTACAGCTCACAGTGCATGTCGGAGCAAATGAGAATCATGAGGTCGAAGGAACTGCCCAAGGAGCTCAGAGACAGAATTGTGGCAAGGCACAGATCTGGCCAAGGTTACAAAAGAATTTCTGCAGCACTCAAGGTTCCTAAGAGCACAGTGGCCTCCATAATCCTTAAATGGAAGAAGTTTGGGACAACCAGAACTCTTCCTAGACCTGGCCGTCCAGCCAAACTGAGCAATCGTGGAAGAAGAGCCTTGGTGAGAGAGGTAAAGAAGAACCCAAAGATCACTGTGGCTGAGCTCCAGAGATGCAGTCGGGAGATGGGAGAAAGTTCCACAAAGTCAACTATCACTGCAGCCCTCCACCAGTCGGGGCTTTATGGCAGAGTGGCCCGACGGAAGCCTCTCCTCAGTGCAAGACATATGAAAGCCCGCATAGAGTTTGCCAAAAAACACATGAAGGACTCCCAGACTATGAGAAATAAGATTCTCTGGTCTGATGAGACGAAGATTGAACTTTTTGGCGTTAATTCTAAGCGGTGTATGTGGAGAAAACCAGGCACTGCTCATCACCTGCCCAATACAATCCCAACAGTGAAACATGGTGGTGGCAGCATCATGCAATGGGGGTGTTTTTCAGCTGCAGGGACAGGACGACTGGTTGCAATTGAAGGAAAGATGAATGCGGCCAAGTACAGAGAGATCCTGGAAGAAAACCTCTTCCAGAGTGCTCTGGACCTCAGACTGGGCCGAAGGTTCACCTTCCAACAAGACAATGACCCTAAGCACACAGCTAAAATAACAAAGGAGTGGCTTCGGAACAACTCTGTGACCATTCTTGACTGGCCCAGCCAGAGCCCTGACCTAAACCCAATTGAGCATCTCTGGAGAGACCTGAAAATGGCTGTCCACCAACGTTCACCATCCAACCTGACGGAACTGGAGAGGATCTGCAAGGAAGAATGGCAGAGGATCCCCAAATCCAGGTGTGAAAAACTTGTTGCATCATTCCCAAGAAGACTCATGGCTGTACTAGCTCAAAAGGGTGCTTCTACTCAATACTGAGCAAAGGGTCTGAATACTTATGACCATGTGATATTCAGTTTTTCTTTTTTAATAAATTTGCAAAAATTTCTACATTTGTTTTTTTCTGTCAAGATGGGGTGCTGGGGTAATGAGAAATAAAATGAACTTTTTTGATTTTAGCAAATGGCTGCAATGAAACAGAGTGAAAAATTTAAAGGGGTCTGAATACTTTCCGTACCCACTGTATATATATGTATATATATGTATATATATATATGTACGGTATAAAACATGCAATAAAAAATATTTTGAGAAAGTGTAAGGTGCCGCAATCATGAGGTTTTTAAGCATGCAGCCATAACTGTGTACCAAAAATGTAATGCAGTTTTGCCTATGCAGAGTGAGATTAGCCATGGACAGACACAGAGGTGCACGCTCACTCACAGACACACACATACGCGATCGCATGATCCTCCCGCTGGAGATAACTACACACAGAGACAACACATGCTTACAAATGCAAAAATGAACCAGATGTGGGACTCTTGTTTTGAGAGGTCCAACTGCAGGAAGCAGGAGACTTGCTGCACTTTCTGACCCTTAGTTGTCCATCGCTTGTTTCTAGGCAGATTACATACTTTTACAGGACCTCAGGAAGCAGAGATGTGGAAAAAAGCACAACAGCTATTGAGGCTGAAATGTGTAATTAAAACAAAATAATACATGGTTATTATGTCCACTGTATGCCAGAGGGAGTATAAGGGATTTACGGTTGTTGGAATTATTTCTAGCTCTGCTATTGAGGAATGTCGACCAGGTCAGTTGGTCCTGCGTCCTTCATTTCATCACTTATTTCACTGCATTCCAACAACATGATGAAACAGAGCTCAATGCTCGCTAACGCCTGTGCTGGAGGTTGAATCGGTATCAGGGTGCTAAATTGAAGGTGTCAATATTTACCAGCCATGACAGAGGGATATTGTTCTAAACGTGTGTGTGTGTGTGTGAGTCATCATGGCATAATGTGGTCCTGGAGACACCTGTAGAAGAACTATCACAGAAGAGTTTACCTTGTCTGTCTGTGGACAGATTTAGTCAACGAGTGTCACAGCTGTGTGGGTAGGTCTGGGCAATATATGGATATATCTACCGTGATATGAGACTAGATATCGTCTTTGATTTTGGGTATCGTAATATGGCATAAGTGTTGTCCTTTCCTGATTTTAAAGGCTGCAATACCAGACTGTTCTATCTCTACTATTATTTGCCTTTACCCACTTAATCATTATATCCTCATGACTGATGATTCTTTATCTTTAAAACCTAACTGTGTAAATATCAGGTGAAAGCACCAATGGTTCTCCTACACACACACATGCACACGCACACACACACTCTACTTACCTGGCCCCTTTTGGCGTCATAAGGGTGCTGGAACTAGGGTGGTAGGCAGGTAGTCTCTGGCAAGCAGCTGGTGTGATCCAATCACAAGATGGTCTTTATGGTATTATTAGTATTGTGTTAATAAAACTGAAAAGGTAGAACCATTATAATAATAGTCAATGATTCATTTTCTTTTTAAAACAACAACACCAATGGTGATAAGGTGGTGTGTGACACTGGCTGCCATGCTGAACCCTCCTGTAACAAAACTGCGCACACATGTCCTTTTTCAATATGAGAAACATCACAGCACCCCATAACCACAGAAAATAACATCACAACAGCAGAGCAATGGAAATAAAACCATGTAGAAAAGCACTGATATCCAAAGTCAGGGGTCAAATCTAAAACTTCAGTTTTTTATCGTGATGGTACACAGTTGAATGACAGAATGAAAGTCTAATATTTTTGGGCAGATGTACAATAATAACTTAAAAAAGAGGGTGAGAGAGAGTCCTCAGTGAGCTCGGCCCTGGCTTATGATCCGTTCAGAAGGACTAACCACTGTCGGTGAGTCCTAAAGCACCAGTGTGCAGAACTCTGTTTTCATTAGTCTACATAGGGAGCAGGTCCTCTTCACAGACTCCACCATGTTTCCACAGTAGCCCAGAGCAGAACAACCAAGCACTGGCTCTAGAGAGGGACTTTATCGTCTTTACGTTATGTGAAGGCCATCTGTGTATTCAGTTGGTTGCAATCTGCTAGCTCACCACTAGATGCCACTAAAGGTTACACACTGGCTCTTTAAAAGGTCTAGAACACGTATAGGTACATGGAGAGGTCCTGCATTAAAAACCCTACTTAAGTAAAAGTACATGTAGTATTATCAGACAACTGTACTTGAAGTACCCCAAGTAAAAGTATTTCTACTGTAAAATTGTCCCCTGTGACTGGTATCATATACATTATTAGATTATTAATACTGATGCGAGGTGGAGTTAGTTTGAACTCCTTTATGGTACAGTGGTTCCCAAACTAGGGGCCAGGTCACCACATTGGTCACCAGCAACAAACAACAGACAAACTAAGTTGTTAGCTAACTGGTGAAGAAAGTCAAGCATCTAAAGAGCAGATGTATGTTGGTGAAGACCAAAACAGAGCTAAAAGGAGAGGTACATCTGAACCAAATCCTTCAAGTGAACAGAGACTTCAATGAGATGTAATATGCTGCTTGTGCAAGTAACTCTTAGCTAACGCATTAGCCATAACTGCATCAGTGTGTCAGGCACTGTGGGTTTTTCTTTTTGTCCATCGTACTCAAAAGTCACTCTCTTATATATATATATAAACATCGAACAAAAAGTTCGGAAATTAGTGTTTGGTAGATTATTTCTCTGTTGTAACAATGCTTCTTGGCAATAAATGTTATACCGTTGGAAAGCCTGTTTATTTACTTTTCAAATGGTGCCCCAATTGTAAGGAACATGCATTTGTGGGATGAGCAGCACAGCTGAGTATGTGGGTTGCACCCATGAAAAATTTGCCAAATCTTCTCTCCCAATGCCAAACAGCTTATTCTGCTGTTGCTATCGACTCTTGTTTGGTGGATTGGATGATTGAAGTCTATCAGTTACAAGGAAGAAACAAGACATATTGTCAATTTTACAATTTATTCATTTAACAAACAGGAGCCTCAGTAGCGTGTGGAAGAACCATACACAGCCTGGCACCTCCTCCTCATGCTGGTCACCAGCCTGCTCACACACTGCTGTGGGATGGCATTCCACTCCTCAAGCAGGGTTTGTCGCAAGTCAGCCAACGTGGTTGTGTTGGTCACTCTGGCATGAACAGCTGGTCCCACAAGTGTTCACTTGGGTTGAGGTCAGGACTGTTGGCAGGCCATTCCATCCTCTCTACTCCCAAATCCTGGAGGTAGTCTCTGATAAACCCCGCTCTGTGGGGGCGAGCGTCTTCATCTTAGAGACCTAGAGGATGGAGTTCAGTTCCAGACTGTGAATAAATGGGATTGCCACTGGTTGCAGAATCTCATCTCGATATGTCTCTGCATTGAGATTGCCTCCAATGAAGACAAGCCTCGTTTTTCCAGTGATGGAGATGCCGCCCCACACCATCACACTGCCTCCACCAAAAGGTGTTACTCTATCAGTGCAGCAATCAGCATAGCGTTCTCCCCGTCTTCTCCAGACTGTGACCCTACGATCCAACTTCCTTAGACAGAATCTGGACTCATCGCTGAACATAACGTTCCTCCACATGTTCAGGTTCCAGTGCAGGTGTTGCTGACACGAGCGCAAACGGGCCTGACGGTCAATAGCAACCGTTAAGAACAGTTAAGAACTGTTCCAAAAGAACAGTTCTTTTGGAAACAAAAGAACTGTACTGTTCTTAACAGAATCAAATAACTAAGTATCTAACAAATGGTAGAGAAGATTGGCAGAGAAGATTTGGCAAATTTTTCATGGGCACAACCCACATACTCAGCTGTGCTGCTCATCCCAGAAATGCATGTTCCTTACAAATGGGGCACCGTTTGAAAGGTAAATAAACAGGCTTTCCAATGGTATAAAATTCATTGCCAAGAAGCATTGTTACAACAGAGAAATAATCTACCAAACACTAATTTCCGAACTTTTTGTTCGATATTTATATATTTAAAAGATTGTGCTCATTCCACAGAATGCCATGAGACCAGACCAGTCAGTTGAGAGAGATCTGTATTGGAAACGTAAGACCTGAGAAACTCTTCTGAATCCTGTCATATATATACTCAGACCTTTTTTATGTATCACTGGACCATGTGAAATCCAGCCCCCTGCACTCGTTCAGGTATTTGTCTACCAAGACAATAATAAAGATTTGATCTGTCAATCCTGAAAGGCCGTGTCTCTCAGGATTGGTAAATGACAAGGAAGAAAGATTTTGCACAGATTAAGAAATGCGCATTGCCCAATAATGTATGTGAATAGTCTATTGATGCTAATGTGAGCTAGCACATTTCTCCAACTTGCAAGAAAATTACTTGCTTTGCAGTAAAGTCGACCTGAGAACACCAGAAAACTGATCAATTGTTAAATGTTCAGTAAAACACTAGTTTGAACTCAGTCCTGCCACTTTGACCTCAGCATTGCTTTTCATTGTGTGCTTTGCCCTCATGTATGTGAGAGTGTGGGGACACTATAGAAGCAAATGAGTGTCTGCAAATATATTGTTCATGTTGATCAGAATTTAGTGAACTACTTTATTAAAAAAAAGATTTGTTAAAAAATGAATTATGTAATGCTAAATGTTAACTTATTTGTCACGAAACCTCACTTAAGTAACGCCACGTCTGTAGACATTTCAACCCAAACCCCGATCTTAATCTAACCAAGTAGTTTTTTTGCCTAAATGTAATCAAACATTTCTAACGTCCTTATTTGAACCCAAACAACGATATTTTCCTAAACCTAACCAAGTTGTTGCCCAAACACTGCACAGGCGCACTGACTGCTGTTGCTGAACCTTTTCAGGAAAACACTGACATAATAACTTTTCGTAAGATATCATCAGAGCCGTTGCACAAGGACATATTGACTCGCACCATTAGCATTACAGCGGGCAGTGGCGAATAACGTGGCACGAGCAGCACCAGATTCTTCTTATTATGCTGTAGCTTCGCCTTTAGCCACGAAGCTACCAAACGAGTCCCCCTACTTGGTGCCAGCATGAAACTACAGCCCGCTGTCGTTGGAGTTCCTTTGAACTTGTCTGTTTTTCAGAGCAGAATCTGAATTGAGAAAAGTGAAGTTGAAATATTTGATGTATTTTTAGTCTTGCTTGAGTAATTCTCACTTGTTTTTCGAACTTTGCATTGATTTGAGCATTCCATTCAAAATGAACACATCTAATTGAAACGTGTGTATTTTAAAGCACCTGTCAGACTCCATAGAAAGAGACCTGTGTTGATTCAGAGCAGGGAACATCGGCACAGTGTGTGATGTCTGTTGTCTCGGTGAAAGTCTCTGCCAGGTCCGTCCTCTCCACATGGAGGTTCAGCTGTGTGCTCTCTAGCTGGCGGGCCTGGATAGTACAGCAGACTGCCGGAGTCTTGAGCCAGGCTGAAGCCTCGTCTTTGCAAGCCCGAGATGTATGCAGCATGCAGTGCCTTTCCTGGTGACCAACGTCACAACTAAAGCAGAACTGCACACGACCAGTGAGCGGGGGGGGAGGAAACGTACAAAAAAACTAAGACAAACCAGATTGTATTGAGCTTTGAATGAATGAAACCGCTGAGGCCTCTCAGCCCGCGTCTTTCTCAGAGTGGAGCGAAGGATGACGGGGGGCTCAAGGTTACACACAGTGGTTAAAGGAGAAGTGCAACACACACTGAAACAGGTTTTACTATTCCACAGCTCACAGGGATGTCTCATGTTCGATGCTTCGACATGTATCTTTTTTTACCCTGTTTACATAAAAACATCTCATTTACATACATGTCTTATTTTCCTAGTTCCTGGGATCAGACTTATACAAAGAGCAGTGGAAAACTGGCCTGAAAAAGACTTCTGAAAATGACTCTGTGGCTGTACAAAATCATCTTTTTTTTTCTTTTCTCTTTTGTCAGAAGTAGCACCTGCGTGCTTTCACATACGCACTTTATAATGTTGCTTTGAAAGCTGGAAAGACATTTTTTCCCCACTAAATAAAAACGTGTATATTTTCATAGAATGCCCACTGCACATCGTCATTATCAATAACTTCATAAGCTTTCTTATAACAATGTTATGAGACATAAACTCTGTGTGTTCTGAATGATTTTATCCCAGAGTTTGATAAAGCTGATCGTCGTATTCCTCTTCCAACAGACTGAGTTTTCAGGTGATCCCACTTCAGTTCTATTTTACAAACTGCTGGAGTTTGGCCTCTGAGCCCATGATCGAGGGTTTAACCTGAAAAGCTTTGGAGCTAAGAGGAGGAGCAGGAGCTGGATGGAGGGAGGGAGGGAGCTGGGAGAGGAGGAGAGAAAGTTTGGTTCTCAGTGGAACCGCTGGACTCCAAATCTTGGATCCCTGCTGTCCCGGATTTCAATCTGGAGGAGGAACAGAGAAGAGAAGAGAGACAGCGTCAGGACGGCTGCAGCAACATCTTAGAAGCAAACAGAAGAAATGTGCCTGATCGGGGGAGAGAGAGAGAAGACGGGGTGACACAGGAGGAAAGGTCCGGAACTCATTCATGCCCTGTGTGCTTTACACTGAACTGTACGCTCCTTTCAACACTCACACCGATTTGTTTCATGGATGCTTATTCAATATACACTGCTGACTTCAAGGTGAAAAACTACGTTTGAGTTCTAGGAATGAAAAGTACAAACACACATAAATAGTAGCGAGTTAAAATATAAGTTGATGGTATGAAGAACACGAGGCTTTTATTCCTTTTCTACTGGGGACTGAATCAGATTCATAACAACCTTTAGGTTTCAGCTCCATAGGGAAGCACTGCAACTTTTCTTACAATCATTTTGTTCTGTGTTTCTCTGTCAATAGATTCATGTTCAGAATCGTAACTTTTCTTTTTGGGTTAGTTTGGTTAGCTTTGTGAGTTGGGTTTATTTATTTATGTGTGTGTGTGTGTGTAGTTTATGTAGGGCGGTCATTTTTTATATTACTGGGCATACTGGTGCTGATGTGCTTGATTAATGATGCTGTTGCGTCTGTCAGCTGTGTGTGAATATGTGGCCGCTGTGAGACATGTTAATGTTCATGTTGGTGCCTAACGTTTCCTCTGATGATGACGTATCAGGCTTGTATGATTAAACTGTGGTGCATTCAGGCAAGTATAGTCGTTTGCACCTATTTTGGTCAATATCTGCATTTCAGAACCTATTAAGTATCCTATGATGGGTCTTGGATGGACTAAACTTACCCGATTTCCTCTGTGCCCCCACTCACTGTGATTATACGTCACATCATGGCTCTTCAGATCATTCGAGGTACTTGAAAGTCATGTGACATTTGTTTCAAGCTGCGTTAATCAATGTTCGACCACTAGGAGGCAGAAAAACACCAAAACAAAGATCCTCAGATCCCCATCACTGCCTTACACACTTACCACTTTCACATCCAGCTGTCACAGACAGAAAGTCTCTTTTGCTTGCTAGGCGCTCGACATCTGATTCAATGTTAATATCAAAAATAGTGCTAAATGCATGTTCCACGTCTTTGATTATTTGAGTTGAGCTGTGTCATCGCAATGTATCGCTCTGGAACTTCTAAAAGACATTTGACTTGCACCATCCACGGTTATCACATCATCAGCAGCATGTGCAGTTTGTTGATGATTTTGGATGGTCTTCTCTGCGCTTCATCTCTTTTCTATGTCTGCTGCTCTGCTCCATTTGGCTGCAGATGGCAGTGGGAGAGGCGACAGAAGGGCTCTAACATATGAGTCAGTGTGAGCCGGCGAGATGGAAAACAAACATAAAGAAACATACTAATGCAAGGAGCTTGAAAGGTCAAACCTTTAATACATTTTCTCCCACATTTTCCAGACTCTTCTTTCAACAACTCCTTTCGACGCAGGACTATCCCAGAAATCCAAATTATACATTAAGAATTCAATAAGACATGAAAATATAGTCAAATAAATAATTGTATTAATGCCTTTTCCTCTAATAGATAAACACTCTTGATGCCAATGGGAACTATTCAGGCCTTTCAATAATGAGGTCATAACTAGGACCGGGTCACTTAACCTTTAGCTCAGTTAACAAGCAGCAATGTGATCTTCAACCCTAGCCCTCCATTACAACCCCATTCAGGATGAACCTCTTGTTGGGCTGGGTGGAGGGATGGGGTTGATGATGGCGTCATGTGGAGCAGGATAATAATAGGTGTAGCACTTTCAGATGGTTCATCCTCCAAGGAATACAATTTAATGAAAATCAGATTTGCCAAAAATCAATGGGTGAAGAGGGGGGAGAGAAGTTGGGGATGGGGTCGGAGGGATTAGGGTGGAGAGGTTGGGGATTATGATTATTAATCTGTTTAGGATGACCTGTTGTTCTAGCTTCATCAGACTGGCTGGATGCCAAATGTGCACTGACGGCCTTGACGTCCAACCTGGCGGTTTGTGACACAAAACCTTCTGAGAAGCAGTCATTGAAAAAGCTGTTTGGAAAAGAACTTGGATGATTGGATGAACCATCTGTCAATCTAACTCTTATTGAAGCCAGTCGGGTGAAGATCTAGAAAAGCCTTCCGTGTTGTTTTTTGCTCTCCAGTTGTGATATAACTGATGCTATCGCAGCTACGCTAACCTCTTTATGAGCCACCATTGTTGTTTAGAACGAGCAGTCGCCTCTCCGTCTCCCATTCTTCTGAACCATTGATTGTTAGTGTGTTAGACGAGATGGACTTTCCTGTGATCTTGTGATCCTGCTATTCTCACGTAATCTCGCAATTTTGCGAGAATCCAGGTGCCGTACAATGTAACTTGACACCACAGACAATAATCAATACACTTCTCAGACTGAAAAGGGCAATACAGCCGGGACACCACCTGGAACATACCTACTGCGTGTGTTTGAGGCTCTGAAACTTCTGCTGCCCTCCCAGTTTGTGACTTGAGGAAGTTTCAAATACCAAAAGTTAAGCGCAACGTTCAAAACTTTAATTTTTACATCAGTCCACGACACTGTATGCTCAGCAAACACTCTCAACGACATAATATGTACTCAACTGTATAGATGGAGAGGAAACACAAGCAATACATTTTTTCCCAAACCCACATAACTAAGATATTTGGCCTTGTAGATACAATTTAAAAAATGTAATGACTGAGATGTATTGACAGATGTATATCTGAGAACTTGTGCATTTTTAATTTGGTAGACTTTAACAGTGATATCATCATAACCCCCCCTAGTTTAAAATGTAATGCAGTAAGGTTAACACAGTTTTAACTTCTTACTTTTTGGTTTCTGACAGTATTTTTACTTGAGTAAAACATTTTAGTATTCTTTCCACGTCTGCCGTATTGCCTTTTGCACTTTCCTCCGAGCTTCCTGCTAATGCTGTCTGATGTTGGTGAATGAAGGGTTGTCATAAGTTGCCTGATGTGCTTTGTGTCTTTAAGCAAGTTGCGGATGGTGTCTGAGTTCTTGTCCCTGCTCTTATGGCTGCTATTGTGGAAAACACTGTTCCACAATGTTTTCTGAGCTCAGTTCAGCTCATTAACATTGGTAACCAATATTCAATTAGCGCACCATCTTCTATTACAAGGGAGTAAATCCAACACATAGACGAGGTAAGGAGAGGTAGAAATGGGTTCACAGTGCATTGTCCTATGAAATGCAGGGGAGAGGACAACCAACAGCTTCACACAAAGAGGTAACTGATCCAAGCGCATGCAGAGCTGGATCGACACGTCAGATCAACTAATGGGAAGACTGGTTGGTCTTACTCCGTCCATTCGTAGAGAGGAGCCAAGATGGAGCTAAAGGGAGGAAGCAGTTTTAAAATAAGATCACCACGGTTTATTTATTTAACGTCTGTATAAAGGAAGTTGATATAGCGCATATGCTATTTTAAGCAACAGTGTGTCACACCTCGACTGGTACAGGTGGGAATAACCTCCCTCAATGACCAGATCAGAATCAAACTAGCAACCTCAAAATCACAAGCCAATCTGAATGAAATCCAGGCTATAACCACCCCTGTTAACCATTACTCAAGGTGGGGAAACATGGCAAAAAAAGCTTCTAATGTAAGGACACCAAGGATGTAATATAAAGATTCACACAATGAAAGTTGCTTTCTGAGAGCATACACCGAAAATGATTAGTTTACAGTAATCGGTGTTCCACATGTTTGAGCTTTAGTCCCTCTCTGGCTGAGCCAGCTGACTTCCTGCCGACTCCCTGCACACATGGAAATAACTTACTGATACAGCTGCTGGAGACTTCCTACCCGAATGGATACAATTATGACAAAACGAGCCATTGGGTGTTTGTGACGATCAGAAAAAATATTAAACATTTCTTTTGTAAAGATTGTGCATGGAATAAGCACTTTTCAGACAATAATTGAACTGCATTATGGGAAATGTAGGATCCAGTGTTCTTTTGCAGCTCGCTCCATACAAGAGACTAAAAAACATTATTTAATTTTGACTATTCTTTTTTAAAAATGTGTGTTATGAGTTCCCCAACCTTGCTGAAGTGCAATGTTAAATTGCTGGACCTGCCCTTTAAGGGGCAGGTCCATTTTTTGTTCTTTATTGGAGTTTATATATCTAGGCCTTTATATCATTCTGTAGCTTCCCAGTGCTGTTCGTTATTTATTTAAATCCAAACATTCACATTTTGACCAAAGTACGTATGTTTTAGCATCAAAATGCTACTTTTCCAAGCCCTTCTAAAAAACATTTTCCCCACGTAACCTGATGCAGGTTTCTGCATGATGACGCTACATATACAGTAGCCTATATACACATCTTCATAGTCGGTGTGTAACATACAGTAACTTAGATGGCGGTCTGCACGCTCCTAGTTTGGAGAAGCAGACTGGAGTACCGGCACGTACTGCTGTGGACGCCACGTTAGTTCGGATCTGAAAAGTCCCACAATAACACAAACAAACGAACCATGCAGTGGTAGACCACGAGGTGTGACGTTAAATTACTGTTTATGTCATTGGAGTTTGGTAGCTTTAAAAAAGGCAAAGATAACGGCTGCAGTTCCTCATCCAAAAGGGCGCTCTGATTGCTATAAAGCAGTGAAAATATTCAAAATTTAGCTTAGACTTAAACTTTTAATAGGAGGCTAAAATACGTTATTCTGCAGAACACTGCAGCATTGCCTACAAACAAGCCCACTTCAAAAAATCCAAACTAACACAGCAGTTATTCCCAAACTTGGCACAGCTAACGGTGACTCAGCTGGCGCTAGCGTTCACATTATTAGCTTACTTTAGTGACATTGGTTACCAACGTCACTGCTTTTTGCTATCCGCTGTGAAAAAAAACTGAAAATGATGAATGCACCCTTTAATTCTGTTTTGTCTTGATAGAAATTACTAAAACAATAATTACTTGTGACTGTCTTGATTGTCTTCTTCTAAGTATCTTTTGTATGTACATAAACATAACTTTATATGTATTTTTTTCTTTGGTTTTTCAGCTCCCCATCTACTGAAAAAAAAATACATGCAGAATAACAGCAAATTATATATATTTATTTGTCATAATATTAAAAAACATTTTTCATTCTGAGATGCATGAGTAAGCAGAAAAACATTAAGAGGACTTCTTGTAAAATACTGAGTGGTAGAGATGGTTTTCTTCGTACTCTGGTCTTTTAACTATTTATATTTCATGCACCGCGGCACCCGGCTGCTCATGTCACATTTGTGTTTGTGGGAGTTTATCTTTGTACATCAGCTTGGCTTGTAATTAGGAAGTTTGTCCTCTCTTCCTTTGATGCTGACATACACACACAGAGAAGCTGGAGGGCCTGGTGAACGCAGCAAACGCACTCCTCAGCGAAAGGCCTTCCTCGACTTGACGTCTCCTCTCCTCTCGCAGTAGGCCTTGCTCCTTTGGGAAAGCATTGCGCCCGAGGACATTTCCTACAACACGCCACCACCTTTTGTTTTCCTGCTAATTCCTTCTCTTCTTCTACCCCTCTGCCTCAACGCAGCCCTTGATGGGATGCATCACTTCACCCTCTAATGGTCTCTAATGTGACCAAACATCATCTGTCTCATGAGGAGTTGTGTAAGATATGTGACCTGACACCAGGTTGCTTTAGCTGAGGGGAGGCTGCACTCACTGTGATGTTTTTAATGGCAAAAGTTGGCAGTTGCATGCTGCTTTCGCTGCCATGTGATGGACTGAGACACATTAACACTCTCCTTATATGATAACAGAAAATATACCGTGAAATGAATGTTGACATACACACTGTGCCATGCATCACCACACACAGACCATTCACAGCCATGACACCACGCACCCAAAGCACAACACTACCAACATCAATGTGAACTTACCCTTGACACAGCAAAATCTGTAAAAAGGACAAAAAGAGTAAGATTAATACTTTCCCTTTACCTGGAAGGTGGATTTCATTTGAATGACTACACAGGCTGCAGTGCACACATAAACTATACAGTATATGGTGCTATACTGGTCCCTCAGTAGTCCTCTTCTCCACCAAAACCCTTTCCGTTTACCAACCAAGATGCCCAAGGGTGGAGGAAAGTGAATACGTCTTTCCCACACTACAAATGATTTTACTGCATGTACAACTCAAACAAACAAAGCCACAATAACTAGTAATACTTTTATATATAATATATTATATTGGTTGCATGAATATAGCCACATAGTTCAACCCATTCTCGCTCCCAACGTGTTGAACCGACGCCCCAAGGTACCCTTTAGTGTCTGTATGAGACGCACAACACTTTCAACTAACTCCAATGACAACCCTTTACTAGACACTCAGAGCAACTGACCTAGTATAGAAAACAAGAACGTCTGCCAATAGGGGAGAGCCTCATATCCTGCTTACCGAAATGCACGACACCTTTAACATTAACGTTGTGAAACGTTGGATACGTTAAGACAACAAAACTACTTGGATAAGGTTAGAAAAAAGATTATAGTGTGTGTTAAAATAATAAGGTGACAACACAACCTGACAACACAAATGTAGAAACGTCCACATTCAACCTATCCGTGGTTTGCAGAAAAGTACAAACAACAAATGCAAACATTTTGTCCTGGTGACTGGGCTGTCGATTGACTTGTGCTGCCTCTACATTTTGTTAGATCTGGACTCATTTAGCAAATGTTTGCCTGAAACCTGCTAATGTTTACAGACTTCCATGCAAAACATACTTTACACAGAAAGCAATGAGGACAGAGAGAGAGAGAGAGAGAGAGAGAGGCAGAGGCAGAGGCAGAGAGGCAGAGAGAGAGAGGCAGAGAAGCAGAGAGACAGAGAGAGAGAGTGAGAGAGGGAGAGAGAGAGAGAGAGGGGGAGGAAACCACACCATTATCCTTCTGGAATCTGACACGTAACCATGGTAACTAAATCCACACACTCGGAGGAATTGGGGGAGTTTATTTCTCTTAAGCTCAACACAATCATCACCTTCTCTGATGATGTCTCTCATCACGACACCGGTCATACACAAACAGAAACTACGACCAACAACTACTGTAATACACCAGCTATAAATAACCCCACAGCAGAAGAATGCATTGTATTCATGCTAAAGTGATGTTTTTAAAGTGTCTGTGTAGATCACACAGAGATGCAGGTCCAAAAACTTTAAAAACACTTCTGAAATGGTGCGGGGTCAAGGAATTACAATAAATACGCTAGGTACATTATTTGGAGTTTTAAAAGGAGGAGGCAGTGTTAAACAGAAAATACATAAAGTGTGCCAATAATCCATTCTGCCATCCATAAGGAGGACAAACTAACTTAAGAAACCCGAATCAGACAAATTGTAATGCAGCATGACTTACTGAAGTTGACATTTTGAAAGAAGTTAAATTTGCATGCATATATAAAGTATCACCATAATTAATTGCTGTTGGTCGTTTGAATTATTTTTTCTTGGAGCAAAAGAAAAACAGAAAAGACACCATGACATGCAGAGGCCATATTAACATAATATGTTAGAATGTCCAAAACTACTCGCTTAGTTTAGTTCTAGGCATTAAGTATGTAAGTTACATACAAATGTAAGGTAGAATAAGTCAACGTTGACTTGAAGTCACACAGGACATGAACAGCTGGCGTCTTGGTGAAAGTCTGAGTTTGTTTGCTAGTGATGCTAGTCCCTGTAACTCCATTTGAGCTTATTTTTGTTAATAATAATAATAATAATAATAATATTATAATGACAAATGCAAGAATCCGACTATAAATAAAGACAATACTACCTTTGATGACAGTGTTTAGTTAGTTGTTTGTTTTTCTCAAAAAGTAACGGTTTCGAACATACAAGGTTTCTGCCTGCCAGCACCGCTATCATCGTCGACTAGACTCTGAATGCATGACAGCATGTCATGCATTCGGTACATTGCACAGTGTACCGTTTTCTAACCACTAAACACATCTTTTTTGCCTTTCATGTCCATTTCTGACCCCTATAATTTGACTAAAAGTGCTTTCCACTTCTCACCCTTGTTGTCAGCCTTCAGCTCCTCCTGCAGGAAGTCGCTCTGCCGGTTGCTGAGCACGAAGGCCAGGAAGGAGAGGATGAGGGCGTCCAAGATGCCGATGATGGCCAGGATGTAGGCCCAGCGCACCGAGCATTTGCCCAGGGCGTACCTCCCGGTGTCCTCCCCGCACATGTCCCGGATTACCTCCGAGTCCCAGCCGTTTGGGAAGACCATACAGCCGATCACCAGACACACGGCTGGAGCATAGAGAAGGAAGTATGGAGGAACGAAGAGGACGGAGTGGATGGGAGCAGTAAGTAGAAAGAGTGATGAATGTTTGAGGACAGTGATGGGTACGGTGGTCACACACAGTGAAGTATTTGGTTTGAGTCAGGAAGTGTGTGTAATAACGTGCAGAGCGATGGGTCAAGGTGACGGGGTTATGTTCCATTGAAAAGCAGCACAGGAGAGAAAATCAATACGGGAGGAGGGTCGAGGTGCACAACAGAGCAAGACGGAATGTCAGGGCAAACAGGAAACAGGAGGGTGAGGCAGGTGGGGGGAGAAAATAGGGTGTAAAATAGCAGGCGGGTAGAGGGAGACGTGAATGAAAGTGAGAGAAAAGAGGGGAGGCAGGGGAGAGAACACAGAATATTCCATTTCACTCTGGGTTGTAAGGGTTAGTCCTCATCGCTCAATCTCGTCCCCTCCATTCATCAGAGCAGTGTTTGAACCACAGACTGTATATAAGAAGTGTACGTAGTCGTCGTGACGTCACTCATTGGTTTAACACCTTGAGTTCGATATTTTGGCCTTCGCCAATCTTGTTTTTTTGCAACCAGTAAACGAAAGTGACCATATTTGGACTGCAGTCGCCGGCGTATACGACTCTGGTAGTCACAAAGTAGCCCCGCCCTAAAGCATACTCTGCTTTATGGTCTATTTGACTCTGAATGAGCATCATGCTGTATTGAAGAAGACTTGAGATTGAGACCATAAACTCATGTTTACAATGTTTACTGAGGGAATAAATCAAGAGAGAAGTAGAGTCATTTTCTCATAGACTTCTATACAGCCAGAGGAGTCGCCCCTGATGGACGTTGGACAGAATGCAGTTTTCAAGGCACTTTAACATTGGCTTCACTTTTCAGAACCAGAGGAATAAATAAAGTATGTACAGCAACAAGTCTACCACTGATAGAGCAGAGACACATCAAACTCAGCCGCTGTCATACTATTTGATAATCTAATGATCCTAGAGGTTTATGTTATGACCACCAGATTTCATTAATTCATTATTAAATCATAGTTTTTTTGTCATCTTGGCATGGAGGACTGGTTTAAATACTCAACTGTGTCTCCTAAAGATTACGTACCCAAACAAACTATACTGCATTCTCAATTACGTTTTGAGGGTAACGTCTTTTCTCCCGGATTACGGTCGCAGTTTTACACTCGTGGTTAATGTTGTGAAATGAAACGAAACAAACACAACAAAACCACTTGGTTAGGTTTAGTAAAAGTTCATGGTTTGGCTTAAAATAGGTGTTAGTTTTTTAATTTAAATTACAGAAGTGAAATTTTAAAAAGTTAATGTAATCCGTAATCCTTGAAAAGTTATTGACAATGCAGTTTTGTTGTATGGGAAACCAGGCTGAAATACTAAAATACCCATGATCTGCGGCTGCAGTGGCATTGGAGGAGAAGCCAATCCTGCGTTGCTGAATTTGTGAACACAACACAAATGGAACAAAGTAAATTTAATTTGATTTAAGCTGCAGATTGTTTTCAGTTTTCTCAACGCTGTGATCCTTCACCTCCATCCACCGTCAGCGGCACATGTAACAGAATTTTAAGTTCAGCGAATATTTCTTTCTGAAATGCTCTCTGGGAGTCAGTTATTGTTCCCCAACATTTTTACATACACAAGGCACAGTGGGGCATGTTTGTTTGTATTGCAATTTAAAAGTGCTTTCCATAATGAATTCCACAGACTTGTAGCTTCTACTTTTTATCAAAGAAGCAGATATTTTCTAACGCAGTACAAATTGTTTCCTAATGTTGTCTTTGGGGGAAAATGAATGGTGATGGTTGGTTGGTTCCCTCTGATGCTGACATATTTCCTCTTCCTCTGCACAAACTGCATTCCAAATGTGTGTATTGTACAGGTTCAGAGGGCCTTTGTTTGTTTGTCTGTGCATACATTTCTTTTGTCCTGTTCTTCTGTGGAAAGACTCTAACCCTAACCCCACACTCCCATAAGGCCAGAGTAGTCCCCTGATGTGTAGAGGGTCCAGCTGAGACCAGCCTGGCCCTAACAGATGGGTCCCTGAATGCCTCATTTACAAAACCACCGCGACCGTTGAGAGCCGTAGACCAAATGAAACCCAGCCGATGTACAGGCTCAGTGTGCGTAGGGACGTACGGGACTGTAGGTCTCAGCTGCTTACAGGAAATCCCTACAGTCTCTGAGAGGGAGCTACAGGGGTTTGGACTATGGCACTTCATAGACTATGGAATACATAAATATACAAATGATTCACAATGCACTAACAAGTTAGAAGTGGACACCATTTTTTCTATTTATCACATGCGTCAAGGCAACGTGTTAAAGACAACAAAAGCTTTTTTTGCACAGCACAGTGTTGGGAACGTAAGGGAGCGTGTTTGGGTTATCAGCATCTAAGAAACTAAATTCTCGACATCAATAGAATTATTAATGTCAGTAACAATTATTAATGATTATTAATAATAACGGGGCACCACCCTGCGGACAGGGACCAATAACCAAACTATAAACTAAGTCTCATAATTAGTGTTCACTCACGATATTAACAGTCTGAATTCTATTACACGTTTGGAGTGAGAGTAAAGGTTTGAGTTCGAGCACAGGCCACTACATCCAGTTATTATTACACACATATGCACAAGTAATCACAGACGACTGCTCTTTAAAATATAACAGAGTTTATTAAATCAAAATAATAAATGATCAAATCAAGTAATATCAAAACCAACAAACACTATCATATAATTATATGTCTAATACCTAAAGTCAAATGAATAAAGTGGGATAAGAATATGTATATAGATATATGTACATGTATATGTGTGTGCGGAAAGGAGGAGGGGGGGGGCTTACTCAAACAGTGATGGTGGGTAATCTAAAAGGGGGCGTGTGAGCCTACAAGCAAAGATGGCGGCGTCTAGAGACCTCCGACAAAATGGCTGAGAGGGGGCCACATGTAACCACGTGGGGCGGCGCAGCATGTGGGTTGGGACAATAGATTACGCAACCACGAGTCTGAGAGGTTCAACAAAAATCAGTGAATCTAACTATGTGTGTGCAGGTTAGTAGGGAGGGAGAGAGAGAGCGAGCGAGCGAGAGAGGAAGATCTCTGAGCGTGGTGCTTGGCGCTGCAGTTGAGAGTGTGAGAAACAGCTGATCACTGGCAAACTCTGCGGTCGGATTCTGAACCGACCGGTCACGCTTGTACGGTGATAGTTGTGGTTCTCAATCTCACTCACAGAGCCGATTTAAAGAAGAGAGAATAAAACCAAACTAAATAAAATAATCCCCAAACAAAACAGATCGTTATCACTGCGGTGAGATGCGGGTATTGCCGTCTTATCACCCCGAAACTCGGTCGGCGAGACCAGGCTCCGCCACCGTGGTTTGGTCTTTGAAGTGATAAAATCACAACCTCCACATCCACTAGCAGCGACGGATCTAATGCAAACAGTTACAGCAGGAAATATACAATATAACGGGACTCCGTGGTCCGCGATGCTCGCGCAATAACACGTTATAACACGACAGTAACTTAACATAAGATACAGGAATAACAACGACATAACGAATAGGCTAAATTAAGCTAATGCTAAGCTAAGCTAAGCTAGGCCCAGATACCAGTAACTCTTACTTTGAGAAGCTTCGTTCGGTAGGGTCTGTTTCCAGTGGTAGGGATCACTTGGTCCTCGAGCAGCCGCTGGCTCTCGGTGGCACGGCCTCGGGGCTGGCTGGCGCAGACTCGGCCTCCTCGCTGCAGAGAGGGGCTTTTTAACTTCGGCTGAGGGACGAGGTTTGGGTCGTCCTTCCCGGAAATCTTCTGCGAGGAAAGATTGTTACCTTCTGCCGGCGGTGTGTACACAAAAAGGGTGGGAGAACGGGGCATAGGAGTTATCCGTTCTCGCACTACAGGATCCAAAACTCAAAATAAAACACAGTCTGTTCGACCAGCGGATGTTACATGTGACCTGATAGGATTTGATGAGGCCGCGGTTCCTCGTGAATCTTCTTGTTGCCAGGACGAGGTCCAGAGGGAAGAGGCCTTGTGGACCTCCTCACATCAGCATGTCTGGACGGAAGAGCCTTGTGGATATTCTTGTCCCCTGGACAAGTCCGGAGTGAAGAGGCCGATTCTAGCTGTGCTGGGGCTTATAAACCAGGTAGCACAACCAGTGGGGGGCCCTTTCTTGGCCAATGAGGGGCCAGCATCAGGTTTCTGCTGGAGCTGGGGGGTGTGGTCATCCGGCATGAGGTTTCTTGCAGACCCCAGGTCAGGCGTTTTGGTGAAAGGAAGGAACATGGCTGCTCCTTTGTTTGAAAAGCACGTGTGAAGGTCTCAGCCAGCCAGGAGAGCAGGGTCAGATCCCAACAACAGTAAGAATGCTTAATCATCACATCTGCATGTTGCTACAGTTAATTGAAGCTTAATATCTGGTAGGTCACTAACTGGCACATGTCTGCTCCAAGAACAGGTGTGATGCACCCAAGACATCTGATCGACACTCAGAGTCCTGGGTTGCATGTGGCATCATTCTTTAATCAGTGTACGCGAATGTGGCCTGGGTCACATTGACGGATAGCTAACGTGTGGGTTCATGAATAGGTGTAGTGCTGCCGGAGCACACCAGAATGACACCGCTCCACTTTGTTTTCTCCAAGCAAGGAAACAGAATATTCTTTGCATAATCCGGATCAAATTCATTTTTTTAAGCATTTGAAGATCCAATTACTGGACATATGTCGTGCAAGTGAGCCAATAAAAACAAATTGTCAGAGTTGTCATATTGATATTTAAGGTGTGTTGATCTGCTGCTTTGGAAACATTTTACTTGCAGTTTATTTGATTGAGGAACTGTTATTAAACCATCTAAATGGAATCTCCAGTGGTGGTGATAAAGCCGAGAGGTGTTCTCATAAATGAATGATGTTTTGTAAGAGTGATGGATTTCATCTCTAAAAGAATCCACT